ACTTTTCCCAGTTGAAATTAAAATCTCCGGCAAGTAAAACCTCTTTGAATTGTAAATTAGTTATGAAGTCTATCAGGGAAGACAGAGCCTCAGGTGTTGCTGAGGGAGGAGCACACTACAGATAAGATCTGGTCTGATTCAAAGTAATGTTTATAGCTAACGCCTCAAATTGGTTTGGGATTGTTTTGACTGACTAGACTAACACAGATTAGATTAGATTGTTTTATCTCACTGTCAAAATTGTTCCATAAACTGACACCTTTAATTGAAATGCATCTGTCAATAGACCTTTTTCACGACAACCGGAAGTAGCATCTCGTGGTGCTGGGTCACTTCCTGTTATGCAAGGCTTTTCTTTCGCTGATGTGGAGGAAATCGCAGCGGCGAATTCTTGAACCAATAAACTTGAGAAAGGATAAAAGTTCCTCCATGAAGAATATATCCACAGCTATCAAGGTAAGAAAAGATGTAGCTTAGCGAGCTAATTGTTAGCTACAACATATGAAGTACATAAACATCGTAATAAAGCCTAATTTAGTGCTAAATTATTTGGAGTATTTGAGACAGACGTGGTATAAACTTTTAAATGATATTTTAACATTCTGATTTGTGTTTGCCAATACAATTTGTGAAAGAAAACTTAGCAGATGTTAGTTATGAGATGAAAAAACATAATAATAATATTTAAGAATTACAAAAAAAAAAAACATGGGCCTCACATTCACATACAAAAAATAGCTGAAAATGGCCCCAGCCTTTAGCTCAGCCAATCTTCTCTCAGGTAAGACACTGACTAATCATGGTGACTCAAGCAGGAGTGAGTCCACCAACACAGGACTGAGCAGAATGAGGACAGCTGGGAGTGCACCAGTAAAACCACTAAATAAAATATGATTAGCAAGATCGTTTCAACTGTTGAGCTTATTGACATTATTATTATTATTGTTGACATTATTATTATTATTGTTGACATTAGTATTATTGTTGTTGACATTATTATTATTATTGTTGACATTAGTATTATTGTTGTTGACATTATTATTATTATTGTTGACATTAGTATTATTGTTGTTGACATTAGTATTATTATTGTTGACAT